CAGGCAAAATTATGTATTAACCAAACTCACTCTTCACCCTGGTCTCTCCTTTTCCTTTACCCCAGTCCAGTTGTTGGAGGCTAGTGTTCTTACTGTAGGCAACTGATAAGTGTTGTTGGTGGCTTGCAGAGGTCATCACTTCTGGGATTATTCTAAAGGGACTCCATGCCTAATGTAATGCCTCATACAAAGGAACCCATCTCCAGGGGAGAATTTTCTAGCCCTGGTGCAGCTGAGTGAAGGAGAATTGCTGGGAGCAGGATTGCCCTTCCAGGGTCACTCGGGTTCTGCCTGTTTCCCTCACAACAAGGCTGGCCACAGGAATGAAGACAACATCCTTTGGCATTTTAACACTCATTTCTTGTGACTTATGCTAAAGACGGGAAGTTTCTATGGAAGCAGTACCTCAAAGGGTTTCTTTGTTGGGATTTTCAAAACCCAAATGTAATGAAAGGATCTTTTCACTACAGATTCTCCTCCGCTTATGATGGGATTACATCCTGATAAACCTGTCATAAGTTGAAAATTACCTAAGTCAAAAGTGCATTTTTAACTTAGAGCCACCGTAAGTCAGGACTGTCTGTATTTTATGTGGGTTTCTGTAGTGTAAATGTTGGGGGACCTTGTGCTAGGCTGGGATGACCATTTTCCTGATGTGCTTTGTAGGAAAAGAGCTCACCCTGGGAGCAAACGTGATCTTCCCCAAGGGATGGTGGACAGTCCAGAAATCACCTCTGGGAAGAGGCAGGTCTTTGGAAGCCTGGGATTTCTGTCCCTCTCTGAGCCTCAGTTTTGTGAGTCTGGATATCAAAGAGTTACAAGTTCAGGGTCTGTTTCCGCTCCTTTGAGTTGGTTTCCTACTTCTTAGGTTAGCACCCTTGGTCCTCCTGGATTCTAGGGACCCAGGAATTCTCAGCTGAGGCTTGCCAGTGACATCTGGATTCTCCTCTTTCCTGAGGAGCTTTCTTCCTTAATCTTGGGGATACTCAGTTAGAAAATACAAGCCAGCCTAGGAGAAGATGGGTTGAGAGGGGGTGTGAGGAAGTTTCTGGGGACTCTGCTGGTGGGATGGCTGCCCAAGTGTGCTCAGCTCAGGGTAACAGAAGAGATACAAGCCTGTTCCATCTGGAGCTGTTTCAGGAGACAGGCAGACCCTCTCACTTCCTTCATCATCATAAAAGACTTTCCCCGAACACTTCACGTCGGCCTCTCTATTGAAGCACCCCACTCTGACTTTCAGACCACAAAATAGGTACTATGGACTGGGCACAAGCGTCCACAAAATGCTAATTTTACACAAATATATATAAAACCCTGAGAACCACCTGTTCAGCAGTCTGATTCCAGAATCTTCTCTTCTTCCACTGGGAGAGTCTTCTCAGGAGTGGGTCCAATTTTCCAGGCCTGCAAGTGAGAATTTTCTTGCCCCAGTCCTTGTTCCTAGAGTGTTTTGAATAGAAATCCAACTAGGATGGAAATTATAATCTTTTGTTTACTCACAATATTCTTCCTCCCAGGAATGGCTCTCTCCCTAAAATAATCTCTTTAGTTTCTCGAGGTCTCCTTCAGGTCCTTCTCGTCTATGAAGCTCCCCTCATGATCCTTTTGGCAATGAATACCATGCATACTTTATGACATACTCCAATAATCATTTTACGGTGAGCACAATACCCACTTCACTCACTCAGCCTTGCTAATTTTGATGTATGGCAAACATGTCTGTCTGCATGAAGAGTCTCTGGAATATTAGCTCTATTCTGCATGACAGCTTTAGTTTGGGCAGATGTTGTTTTTATCTATCACCCCTGTCGATCTGCTTTCCATGAAGGAAATTTGGCTGACCCTCAAAGGATGGATTATTGACCTCCCTTGGAAGCCCATGGAAATGACATCACTATCTGATTTCTTAAAGTAAAAATGGAAGATAATTAAATGCAGCACAGTAGTTGTAAAACAGATTTCATTGTGTTATACATCACTTCATAAAATAAGCATAGTTCCCATTCTTCCACATGACTTCTTTGTAGCATTTTACCACACAATAATGACTCCCTGACAACTCAACTAAGACATTTTCGAACTACTTGCTCTAAGGTCAAAGTTAAACATTCTCAGATGGAAAAGCTCGCTGGATGAAATGGTGTACCATCAGAATAAAGCATGTAGTATTATAGGTATAGTCAAATGAAACAAGCTGGCCATAAATCTACCAGAGACCATCTCCTTCTTTAGAAAATAAAAGTACTGCTTAGGCCAAAACAATTAAGTTACTGTGATCGTGTATGAATAACTCTGAGTATTGGGGCTTCCTTGAATCTCATATAGACAAACAAACCAGAAGGTTACCATTTGGGTTGATGGTGGCTTATCATTTTGCATCTGGAAACTTTTCTTATTTTGCTGGATCAGGGATGTGGGTGGGGACACAGGGCAGCACCCAATAACCTTTTATATAAACTCTTTATATGACTTGTTGATCCATCTAAAAAAAAGTAAGTCAATTATTCAGATTAATCTGGCGAACTAATTCTAAAATCTGAGAATTGTGTTTATTAGAACTGCTATATTTGGGGTTTGGTTGCTAGCATAATTTCCAAAGGAGGAACTCTTATTGAAGAGAGATCACCACGTTGACTGATTGTACCGTGTTTATATATTTCACAGCAAAATGATTGTCTCACTACGTTCCATATTAGGGGGAGGATTACAACCAAATCTGATATATAATTTTCTTTTTGTCTGTTCTAAAATATTTATCAAGTTAATTCATTACTCATGGATTTCCTCCATTGCAGGATTTCAAGACTTCGCAGGAAGTCTTGAGGAAAAAAGATTGTAACTTGCAGTAATGTGGGAAAAAGGCCTAACTATGATTCTGGAGACCAGGATTCTCTTTTTCTGTTCAGCCTGTTTAGTCTTTTGTGTGTGTTGCTGACTGAGTTCTGGCTCACTGAAATGACTTCATATTTGTGAAGAGCTGAATACTCTGTTTGATCTTCTTAAGCAGATAATTTTAGGCAGAAATAATATGGCTTGTCCTTTATTAGGTCTCATAGCCTAGTGGGTAGAAATCCACCCATAAGAACCTTGTCTACCTCAACAAGAAGGGTCTCTACTTACACAACTGCATGGTCTCTTTGCCGGTTGTTGGGTCACAGGTGGCTCGCCATTTTCTTTGAGCTTGCAAATAAAGTGCATCTTGAGTTTCCTTATCTTTATACAAGTAAAGATAAAGCAGGTTCAAGTGGGAGAATGTTCACAGGCTGAGAACATCAGTTTGGCTTTCAGCAGGTGCCTCTTCACAGGAGAGAAAGCCACCACCAGCTGTGCACCTGGTCTCTGGGGAGGGACCAGGCATTGGAAGGGTCATGCCACCGGAAGACTGACTCAACAAAACCGCTTCCAAACCGGATATAGCTCTGCTTCCTCTTTCTAATAGAAGCATATCTGTTGCCATCTCAATTACACCTAGTTCAATGAGAGAGAATGTACGTGAAAGGGCTTGGAGAAACTAAAATGGCTAAATACTTGCAGGAGGCATGATTATTTAGACTGTATCACACCAACCCAGCACTGAGGGGCCTGTTCTCCATACTTACCAGAGAGGGGGCAGAGAAAAGGCACAGATTCCTTCTCATTTCACCTAGCAGTTGAATCTTTTCCTTGAGGTCATGCTACCAATGAAGAGTCAATTGAGATTGAACACAATCAATAAGAAGACAGGGAAGACACTGAAGAAGTCTGGCCAAAACTGGCTACAAATTATATGATACATTGAATGCTTCCTCATCAGTAAGATTTTGGAGGGGCTCGGAAGTCTGTATTTGAAACTGTGAACTGCGAGGGGTGTGGTCCGACAGAAAAACAGCATTGGGAAGTGGTGGGATAAAGAAATACACCTGCAGCTGGGCTCGGTGGCTCAGCCTGTAATCCCGCACCTTTGGGAGGCTGAGGTGAGTGGATTGCCTGAGCCCATGGGTTCGAGACCCGCCTGGGCAGCGAGATCTCATCTCTACAATTAAAAAAATTAAAAATTAAAAAAAAATCAGCCAGGCGTGGTAGCGCATGCCTGTAATTCTGGCTACTTGGAAGGCTGAGGCGGAAGGATGGCTGGAGCCCAGCAGGTCAAGGCTGCGGTGGCCGGGAGTGGCCAGGGCACTCCAGTCTGGGCGACAGAGTGAGACTCCAACTCAAAAAAAAGAAAAAAAAAGAAAAAAGAAATACACCAAAAAAAGAAATGAAAGCACACACCCAGTGCTCTAGGGAAACCGGTTTCCTCATCTCCCGGTTAGCTGTCCTGAGTGTGTTTCACCTGCAGTTCAAGGGTTATTTCAGGTGCTCCAATGGTGGAATTGCAACACAACTGGAGGAAAGAACTACCAAAGTGGTTAGGAAGCTCATTTCAGGGATATTTTTCAAGGAGAAACACAAGTTTATGATGAAGAGCAGTAGGCAGTCAGGGTGTGCAAGTGTTCTTCTTGAGGGGGAAAGAGTGGTTGACCAAGACACAGGAATCCGTGTGGATATTTCCTGTCTCTGTTTCCTTCACCAACATCCTCAGGCCATCTCTGGCTCCTTGGGGCAGAGTAAGTGCTCTCTACAGCTCTCCTTCTAGCCTCCTTACTCTTAACGATATGGCACTCGCTGCAAAAACAAAACAAACATTTGTCATACGGGATGAGGCCAGGCTTGTAAGAGTTTGCTGTAAAAGGTGTTCAAGTCAGGGAGCAAATGCCCAGAAATGAGTATTGACGGGGGGAAACAGTGTTGACACTAAAAAAAACCAATCTGATCCCACATGTTCATTTCTCCTAAAGTTGAGGGGCCCAGTTTCTAGAATCTCAAACCTTAGGAAGTAATCAAAATGAGAGTGAATGGAAATCATCTCTTACCTTATGTTAGAGGCTTATGTACATTTTAGAGCAATTTTTCTAGCTAGATTTAAGGAAGATATTATTCTCTTAGGTTCTTGTTTATTACTATAAACAAGCAAGTTCATGTTAACATTTACTCTTTATTGTGTTGGAGGAAGTACCTATGTAATGCAAGTATGTACTGTACTAAAATACCCATGTTTCCAGATAACAGTATGTGGTATAACCCACAGTCTCTGCAGGACAATCATGAGTAACCTGTGCCTTCAGACTTTTACAATCCATTACTGGCTGCCGTTAGAAGCAGGATAACAGATGAAGGAAAAAAAAGTCAAGCTAAGTATGCATACACTTTTGCAAACACACACATACACAACTTACAATGGAACCCCCATGGAAACAAATCAAATGACAACATTTGATGTATTAGCTATAAAATGTAGACTCTGCAATAAAAAGCCAAAGGCACGTAAAAATATATTTTAACTTTAAAAATAACTTAGTTACAGTAATACTTTGCTTGTGTCTTACCAACATGTAGCTGACAGTCAAAATTTTGCAATATAGATATAATATATAGGGATATATAAGAACTATAAGAAAATCCCCAAAACCCATACAGTTGTTCAAATGTGAAAACAGAGGAAAGTTTTAACACTGGAGAATTCGCTTATGGTGAGCCCAAACAATATAATATAGAAAAGAGTCTAGAAAAAAGGCTTGGGTGTTAAAATGAATTGTGACCTCCTCTTGTTCAGAAAATGTCAGATTACCATAAAGTTCTGGAAGTTCTTTAACGTGACTCGCCCAGCCCTCCACAGCTAGTGCCCATCCTGGCCAAGCCAGATTTCTGACACGTCTGCAGCCAAAAAATGGGAGTGCAACGGCAGCCATGCCCACCGAAAACGAGCTGATTGACTCACTTCCTCCTTGTGCCGGGACAGGTTTTGTTTCACTCTGAATTGTTTTTGCAAACAGGGCTTCACAGGTACAAAAATACTTTGTAGGAACATCGTTTTAGAAAACCCATCACACAACTGCAAAGACAGCCCGTGAAGCCCTCCTCTTTGTGGTCAGTTGAGTGTTTTGTGTTTGTGTTGGTACCTTTCACCCCAAGGGAAACAAGCTGGCATCCTGTTACTTGTTTTTATCCATGACATTCAGCACCTCATCCAGAAGAGAGGGCCCTAGATCCAGCTGCAGGGAGAGGAGGGAGCCCGTAAGGTCAGAGAGGGACTCCTCGGATTTAGTCTTGCCCTTGATGAGCTCACAGGGGGCGGGCTGGTCAAACATGTCCTCGGCCGGCCAGTCGGAGTACTGTTCGGACAGGCTGGAGGAGTGGCTGTCCCTGCCCTGGCTGGACTGAGAGGCAGAGCCGCTGGAGCCCCACGACGTGTCTCCCTGGTGGACTGTCCCGTTCTCCAAGAGGCTGCTTTTCTCCTGAACCTTCTCCTCCATGACAGGCTCGCAGCTAAGCCTGGGCAGCTTGGCTGGCCCAAAGGACTCTTGCTTGGAACTAAAGGTCACAGGGGACAACAGGGGCAACATGAGCGCTTGGGACCCTCCGATGGTCGGGAGGGAGATGGCATTTTTGAGCACCGGGGAGGGTGTTTCTGTGAACACCGAGTCCGAGGTGCTGTTGGCCCGGAAGAACTCGAACTGGCCCAGGTGTGTTTTCTCCTGGTTCCCAGGTAAAAGCTCGTAGTTCCCTTGAAGAAATGAAATGTCTCCAAAGACGTCATGCTGGCCCTCCTTGCCGATGTGAATGGTGTGGCGAAAGTCTCCAAGGGGAGGGCTGATCATGTCAGGAGACAAAATGTCCCTCAGCTTAAACTTCTTTCCTTTCTTGTTATTGGCAGCTTTCAGGTAAATCGGGGTCTTGGCTGGCATGTTGGGGTCTGGGAATGTCTCTTTCGCAAGAGGGAGAAAAGGGCCACTTTCTTCACATACGTCTCCGAAAGTCCTTTTGGATGGGGACTGTCACATCATTGTTCTCAAGTGGCTTCAGAAGAGGCCATGAAATGAGACAGGGTCTCAGAGACCTTCTGGAAGTTGCCGCTGAGTGGGGCTTCCTGGAGAGCCGGTTACATCACCCACTACCTTCCACAACAAGAAGAAACCTGGAGAAGAAACCAAAGCAGGTTATAATCTGCTGACCCCTCCAGGTCTACTTGGGCCTGCTTTTTTACAAAAGCCTGTGAAGGATGACAGGGCCGGTTCCCACCTAAAGCCGAACTTTATCTCATTGTTTCCCACCATTACGCAGGATAAAAATGAATCGCGAATGAATCTTGGTCTTACTTCAGGGGAAAAAAGAAAAAAAGGAGAGGAAGAAAGACTTACAAACCCCAAACCTACGACATCAGCACTTTTTAGACAGGCCATGGATGTGATTTTCTGGACATGTCTAAAATGTTAGCCCTTTTCCTCTGTTCTAAGAACTGCTGTCATCAAATGACCTGAGTGATTTCAGCTCCTAAATACAAGTGGATTTGCTTGAACATATTTTTTCTTTTTTGCTTTGGTGTACACACCAGTAAGACTGATAACGTTTTGCTGTTGCGTTTTGGATATAACTAAAATGAACACATGAAAATGAATAGTCCTACAGAGAAAGGGGGGAAAATATGATTTCACTAAGTGACGATATCTATTAGATGTTTGTGCCCATGAAATCCTAGTGGAACGCATGTTTACAGAACAGAAAACAGATTCTGGAGACTTCCTCCCATCAAAAATAAAAATTAAAATTAAAAAATCCCCCCTTTTCAGTAGCATACAGCCAGTGAACAAAAGAGCTAAAGGTGGAACCAAGTTATGGTGGCACATTCTGGACTGTCAGGGATTCCAGGATTGGAGGCAGGATTTGGAGGCATCTGAGATGAAAGGAAAAGAACAAAACTGCTTTATTTAAAACAAAAAACATGGTCAGATACGACTGGGTGGGCCTTCACTTGGGAATACTTCCAACACATTATTGATAATGTTTGTTGCCTTTCCTTACAGTAGGCAGAATTCTAAGGGCGTCTGCGACCTATCTCCTGGTGTTAAGTGCTCTGTGGTTGGAACCTGTGACTTGCTTCTAACGGAGAATATGGCAAAGGAGACAGGTCACTCCCTGATTAGCTTATGTTATAGAAGACTCTATCTGAGCCAATGGGGGAGAGACTCCCCTTGAAGGCTCTGACAAAGTGGTCAGGCCATGCTTGAGCCTGTGGAGATTAATTCTTCCAACAATGTGAGGGAGCTTGGAAGTGAATTCACACTAGTCGAGCCTCTGATGAGACCATTGCCCAGACCCACACCTGTATCACAGCCCAGTAGGATCCTGGAGCTCAGCCCAACCAAGATTCTTGATGTACAGAAAACGTAAGGCCATACGTGGGTGCTGTTGTAAGCCCCAAAGCTTGTGGTAGTTTGTTACCAGCATGGAAAATGGATACACCCTCCCTGCCCATACTACATGACAAGATCAGATCTAATGAGACAGAGGGTAGCGCTGGGGACTTCAGGCCTTCTTTCACTCATGAGACACTCCTATCTTCTGAAATAACCCTCCAGTTCTTTGGTTGCATCAGCTGACACGAAGGAGCTAAAACCTTCCCCACAGCAGGCACACTCCACATGGCTCGGCTAGGACCTTACCCCTCAGGCGCTCATCTCCCTGGATACTTACTCCGATGACCGGGTTAGCTAGTAGCTTGACGGGAGCCACATTTGCTCTGTAGCAGCTGGAGACTGCCTGCATCTGCCCATATTTCTTTCCTTTCAGCAAGAGTTTTAAATTCGTTTACCAGTGGCAGATGACAAGAGCTGTGCGCCACCGTCCACTAGCATGACAGCATCTGGTTGTCTGGGAAGTAGCTTGCTGGTGTGACAGCACTGTCCAGCAACCCAGGCCTGAAAGCCGAGAACAATCGGGCTGGAGAAGTGGGGAGACAGCTGGGGCAGCATAAGGAAGGTTGCACCCACGCGGGGTGGGCTGACCACGGTGCTGCCAGCCACAACGTGACTATAGGTCCTGGCATTCTCTCTTGTCGTTTTAGTTTTCATTTGGGTCTTGTCAAAGTAACAAAAGCTGAAACACCCGGTCTTCCTACAAAAACATCAGAACTTCCTTCCTGTTGAGTGCACAATGCCCAGTCCTGGCCTAGGGCCCCTGCTGTCCGGTGGTGACCTTCCTGTCCCTGTGGGCACAGTGTGGCTGACTGCCTGCGGAAGCAGTGGGGCACCCTGAGGTGCAGCTGCCCACGGAATGGTGTCCCCAACATACGCACAGCTGTCGTGGAAAGATATGGTGTGTCCACTGCAGCACAGGGCATGCCAGGGGTGCCTGTGTCAGCTGGCAGAGCCAGGACTATGCAAGGCCAGGCCTCAGGGCAGGGTGTTTCAAATTCTTTTTTCAAAAAAGTCTCATGGAGACGGAGCTGGAAAGTGGTCCCTGACCCTCTGACTGGATTGCTGACATCCATCCTTAACTAAACAAGACTTTGGAACAGTGAGGAGGAAAGGAGGAAGAGGAACAGAGGAGGAAATGGTCGCTGCTCTCTGAGAGCTTGGGGGAGGAGTGCCCAGTGTGCAGGCCTTCCGGCCGGGCACCTGAAAGGAAGCAAGGTGTAGACCAGGCCCGGTCTCTGGTCAGTCCTTGCCTGGCCACAGGCACTGGCACCAGGGGCTTCCAGTCAGAGGCCTGTTCGGCCCACTTGAAGTTGGGTTTTACGTCAGAGGCATGGAGGGCTGCCCTCTGAAGGTTGGAGGGAAATGGCAAAAAATAAAGGAAAGGTAAGCCGGGTACAGTGGCTCACGCCTGTTATCCCAGCACTTTGGGAGGCTGAGGTAGAAGGATCACTTGAGGCCAGGCGCTAAGACCAGCCTGGGCAACAGAGTGAGACTGTGTCTACAAAAAATTAGCCAGATGTAATGGTGTGTACCTTTAGTTCTAGCTACTTGTGAGGCTGAGACAGGAGGATTTTTTGAGCCCAGGAGTTTAAGCCCAGCCTGGACAACATAGAGAGACCCTGTCTCTAACCAAAAAAAAAAAGAAGAAAAGGATAAGAAAGGGGTTGGTAAGGAGGCTACATAAGCTGCAGAGAGTGAGATGCTAGAAAGTGGGAGAGCCTAAATAAAATACCTTTAAAGGCACTTTTCTTTCCTTCTACAAATATTTACATCATATTTACGTATGCCAGGGATATAGGCTTCTGGGTGTTTAGAAATAATGTTTTATATTGAATTTCTATAACGTGCCAGTCCTAAGAGTTCCCAAAGACTTTGAAATATTAAAAATAAATGAGAAATTTAGGGCAAAATGTTATTTTTACAACTGTATATTGCTGTGATTTTTTTAGAGACCAGGTCTTGTTCTGTCACCCAAGCTGGAGTGTAGCCTCAAATTCCTGGGCTCAAGTGATCCTCCTGCCTCAGCCTTAGCCTCCCAGGAAAGCTAGGACTACAGGTACATACCACCATGCCTAGCTAATATTTTTATTTTTTGTAGAGATGGGGTCTCGCTATGTTGCCCAGGCTGGTCTTGAACTCCTCGGCCTCCCAAAGTGCTGGGATTACAGATGTGGGCCACTGTGTCCAGCTGAGCTTTAAAGCTTTAGAGGAGCTGACACCTGCATTTTCTGAGGAAGAGTCTGGAGCTTTGATCTGGTCCTTTTCTCTCATCTGTTATCTTTCCTCTCTTGGTGCGGGCAGCCATGCTTGAACCCAGGAGAGGGGACCCAGCGCTGATGGTTTCTTACCCTGACCACTCGCCCTCTCCTTTCTGAACCTTCTGAGCTCAGTCCATGCAGCTTTACTGTTTTTCCCTTCCACTTCCCAGGCCAACTGCTCTTTCAACATCTTCTCTGCCAGTCGCTTAGGGAGAAACCTAGTGGGGTGCTTTCTTCCCTGGCAGGAAGTGGCTGGTCCCAGAGAGGGCATGGGCATCTCCTGGGAGCTGACAGAACTTACTACAACAGTCAATGTATAGCAAAGGCTTCCCTGCATGCTGGGCACTGACATGAACTAGTTCTCTCAGAAGAACCCATGAAGCCATTACTGTTACTCTCCCCACTTTACAAATGAGACGCTACTGAGGCCCCGACATTGAGCCACCATGCCAAGGCCACATGGCCACCAAACACTAAAGGGGCCAGGCTCTCAACTCCGAGGTCTTGACGGGACATTTAATGAGCACACTGCCTGGGAATTCAGTCAACTCCCAAATCATGACAGGGGTGCATTCCAAAGCCTGTCTGAGACACAAGTGTGTAGCTGGGTACGGTGGCTCACGTTTGCAATCCTGGCACTTTGGGAGGTGGAGGTGGAAGGATTGCTTGAGTTCAGGAGTTTGAGATCAGCCGGGGTAACACAGTGAGACCCTAATCTCTACAAAAAATAAAAAAAAATTAGCTGGGTATGGTGATGTATGCCTGGGAAGGCTGAGATAGGAGGATTGCCTGAGCCCAGCAGTCAGCGGTTATGTTTAGCTACGATCGTGCCACTATACTCTAGCCTGGGCCACAGAGTGAGACCCTTTCTCAAAGATAAAAAAGACACAAATGTGTAACATGTGCTGGGCTGATGAGGGTGAGGCAGAAACATGAGCAAGTCCCACCTTAATGGAAGGCAGTTTGGCAATATCTATCAAAACTGCAAATCATGTGGCCTTTGACCCCAGACTCCATTTACAGGGATTCATCCAACTCACATACACAAGGAATAATGTCCAAGGTTGTTCAAACCAGCACAGTTCATAAGAGTCAAGAGCTGGACACCACTTAACTGTCCACCTACAGAGGCTGGTTAAATAAATTTTGATGTATCCATACAAATCAATACCATTTGGGTCTAAAAATGGATAGAGAAGCTTTTCTTTTCTTTTTTTTGTTTAAGCCAGGGGTCTCACTCTATCACCCAGGCTGAAGTGCAGTGGCATGATCACAGCTTACTGAAGCCTTAACTGGGTCAGACGATCCTTCAGGCTCAGCCTCCTGAGTAGCTGGGACTATAGGCGCACACCACCACGTTCAGCTAATTTTTAAAATTTTTTTGTAGAGACAAGGTCTTGCTATGTTGCCCAGGCTGGTCTCAAACTCCTGGGCTCAAGTGATCCTTCTGCCTCAGCCTTCCA